TATTATTTCAGAGTGTGTACCTCACAGAGTGGTAGGGCTCAAGTTTCTGTTCTGGCGTCCCTTCTGCCCGACTTTGACTCAAAATCGAGATGGAATTTGGATCAAGAGGTTTTCTATTGTATACATGAACATTTTCATGAAAGTACATGAATAAATATTTCCATGTTGGAGTGGTTTTGGCACAGTCATAATATTTGTTTCTTTTTTAAACCCGATGTCTGCGGTCCCGATACCTTCTATGAATATGAAGAAAATAATAAACCATAACAATAAGACCACTTTTCAAGAGTCTGAATGTATGTTCATTATGTAAATAAGCCACAGACATTTCCTTGGCGCTGTTAGCGGATGTGCATGCACCATGCGCTTTACTGGGATTGAAATAAATGATTTGTGAGGGAGAAAGAAGTGTTGGATTTGTGAGGTTCACAGTGATTGCGTATTGGGCTCATCTTCAGGCTGAGATTTCATCCATTCCATCTGATTCCACACCAGATCAATAGCAAGTAATAAAAACTCTGTCCCCGAACCGGGGCACACAAAGAAGACATCTTGGACATCTTGTCAAAGTCAATTCCGTTAATATTGCGTTATCGATCCTGACTCAGATTTCTTTGACGGGCGGGTGTGTGATGGTAACATTGCCTACCCAGTGCAAACCCCTGTTTGGTGTTAGCTTGTGAATTAGTAAGGTCAACCAATAGACAGCTTGACGGCTTCTTCATGCTGCAAATAGAATGTAGAAAAAAAATGACTTCGGGTAGAGAAGGTGATGTTCTTAAAGGTAAAGACCAGTTATGGTCATGCGATTGCATTGTGAAAGAAACGTTGTGGAATCGATCAGAAAAGGTTGATCATCTAGCATCTAGCATCTGCAAGGTTCTGGAATCATCAAAATGATAAGAAATTTGGCCCATTCTTCTTAAAGTTACAAGCACTATACACAGAAAGATGTATATGGGACTACCCTATATCTCTCACAGACCATGAGAGAAACAAATTTACCAAATATATGAATTAGTAGGCGGTTTCCCGGCAAATTTTTTATCATCATGTATTAGTCAAAACATATTCTTTCACATGATTGGTAATGAGAGCTTCCATTTTATTTTTTGAAATTGGGGCATTTCCAATACTGGTCTTTACCTTTAAGGCAGCTAGAGAAATGAAGAGATTCAATGTCCTTGCATTTTACATAATTGATTGTCCTGTAAGCAGCTCTTGACTTTCCTGCCCATTCTTTCTGCCCAATGCATTATTAAATATATATGATTTCAAAAATATTATTTGGGGGGTTTAATGAAGTTTTAAATGTCCATCATTCCCCATCTTTATTATTGTTTATGTTGTGCTTTTGTCTTTTTTTATGTCTTAGCAAAATTATATGAAATGCAGAAGATATGACATTTTAAGTGCCACCAAATTATAAAATATTTGTCACAAAATGAAATATGATTTTGTAAGTCAAGTTAGTAATCATAGTGACCTTCTTAATTAAAATCGTTGATCTTGATGCACATTTATTCTGTGAAATCTTGTTTGCTGAAACAGTTTATAAATTCAGACTACAATGCAGATATATGAAGATGTATACAATATGCTAATTGGGCATGTGAAACTGGCTATATGGCACTGAAAAAGAAATCTTCAGCCATCGACCTTTTGCTTTGAACATTTATTTTTCAAGAATGGACTAGGATTTAATGACTTCAAATCTTCATTAGATGTCAATATCATTATCAGACACATATTCTTTGTTTGAAGGGAAAATTACCATCCCTATAAAAATGAAAAAAGTAAAATGTGATACAGTGATTTCAAATCTACAGTAGATAGTACTTAAGCAAACATAATTCTTAAATGTTTTTTCTAACCACCCATGTGTACAAAAGCACAATTTTCTACAGTCATTCATTAATATGTATTTCGATTAATGACTCACAAAAATTATTACCCATTGCCATGAATAGGGTAAGGCGGAAATCTCTAGTGAGTAGTTAATCAAATTAGGCAGCATGCAGCATTTCCAAAAATCCTTTTAATTGGATAGGAATGGATTTGTGTATTTTCATCCGCATCAAATGAAAATCCCCATGGAATCTAGCAAGAGGAACGGGCTAGTCCAATTAATTAATTTGCACTATTTTGTTGTGGATTATGTATTCCGTGCATGCCATGCCAAATCATGATGCAGCCTAGAAATTTGTTTTCCGCAGAAATGTCACGTTTACTGAAAGTGTGTAGCTCTGCAATTAGTGAAGTTGTTAGATTTTTAATTGCGTGGGTGCATGTAGCATCAATTTTTGTTTTAATGGTTGATGAATTTGCTTTTGCTTATACAAGTAACCCAATAGGGAAGGACAAATTGCTTTCTTTGAAAACATTGATGCATAACTTAGACATATCCTCCGGTGAGAGCCAGAAAGGTGTTAACTCATGTACTCTTGCATAGAGTACCAATATTTGGAACTTGAAATTCTCCATGAATGCTTTCATTGTAATTGGATAACAACTTCCAGACTGGTAACCCTTGACACAGCTGCGCTGCCATTGAACACTGTGACAAATGCCTCCAGATTTCATGTCACCAGTCTATCCTAATGAATGTGACACATTGCAACCCGGTTAACACCGCTCCTGCAGAGAGTGGCTTGGCGCTGTGCTGGTCATTCATAATTTGCAAATGGCAGGCGTCCCAGGAATGACCGTCGATGGTAGCCCCGGGCTGGAGGATGACCATGCAAAATATGTTAAGAGACAGGTCCATTAAGAATTCAAGATGCAGACAGAGTAGAGACAGTCAGCTTCAAGAGAGATGGAGAGATAGAGAGAGACAGAGACAGAGAGAAACAGAGACAGAGACAGAGAGAGTGACCGAGAGACAGAGAGAGGCATGGGAGAGAGAATTGGGAATAGGAATGGGGGTGTTGGTGCTTGAAAATATTCAGAGAGACATGAGATGAGATGAGATGAGATGAGATGAGATGAGATGGGGAGAAAAATGTTAAATATTGACAGATATAGACAGAGAAAAAGGAGATGTGCAGACACAACTTAATTTCTTCCACAAGGGGGAGTTCAAGTTTGGTTCACTGTCCTAGCAGACTTTGACATCAATTTCTCATATTGATTTCCTGATCAAATTCCCCTAATGCTCAAGAACTATCCTTTACAGTGAATATTAATGCAAAGGTTGTATTTTTAATATTCATCATGGCAACATAAAGCCTCGACTCCAAGACAGAGGGAGGCCTCTTGTGGAATATCCACGAACATAAGTGTAATACATTATGCACAATCACGCTTGTATAGCAGTTTAGGACAAGATCCGTAATAGAGAATTCTTCTAATGGAATTCATGGATTCAACAACAAAAAATTGTCTGTTTTTCAATATCACCACTGACTAGACCTTACAAGGATGAAAGCTGATATCGTCCCTCCTTGAAGTTATTGATCAACAAAAAAATTACCTAAATCCAAAGTGTTATTGATAAGCAAAAAAACATGTTTTTGAAATCCAACCAGTTAAATTTATGTCTGCCTTCGAGACTCTTTCCTGTTGCCAAATGAGTTCACTGACATTCAGTAGCTTTTCGTTGTCTGTTCGCTGTGGTGCATAATTCATTGCTCGGTAGAAAGTAGAAGTAGATGCATGTTCCTGCCCCGAGGTCTCGAGAGACCAAGAGAGCATCACCCATACATCATGATCTGACACAGGGCACCAGAAGACCTACTTCGTCCCATCAGCAAAGATACTCGGATGCAGATCATTTCATACCAGATCTTTCTATCTTGGAGCCAATCTCACACAGATTGTGTAATGTGAGCGGCCTGGTCTTGAGCCTGTCGTTTTCATTTTGGAGTAATACAGCTTTAAGAGAGGAGTGAATCAAGTTCGTTTTGCTGGATTAAAGCACCCTCGAGCCTGTGTATATGCAAAATGAATGGATGGATTATAAGCAGATTGTATGAAAAGATTGATTGTATGACATTATGAATAAGTTTGGAGAGAATCAACAAAGTAGTAGGTGCTGAGAAAGAGTTTTGAATGGTTCTGTCACTGTCCAGGCATAAAAATGTCTATATTTGAGCCTTGGTGTAGATTAGTAAATGTAGTAAGATCTGCTGTAAATAATAGATGATGATGATAGTGACAACGTCATTGAAACTTATGATGGTGGTAATGATATTTATGATGAAGAAGATGATGATGATGATATTGATGAAAATGATGAGGATTAGTGTGATGATTATTGAGGAGGAGGATGGTGATGATGGTGGACCGTGTAAGAATGATTATGATGATGTTGATAATGATATTACCGGTAATGATGATGTATTATTGAGGAGGATGGGGGTAATAATGATAATGGTTTCAATGATGTTGATATTGTTGCTGCTTTTGAATCATTTTGAATGATGAATTCTCCAGACGAGCATCACCATAGCAACTGAAATGTTCAGAGCACAACCATGGTACAACTGTCATTTGTAATTCACAACAGAGTATTCACCTCATATTTAATATTCAAAGTTAAAAACCAGAATAACCCATTGTAGATTCAAAGCATGTCTTCATGTTCTTATATTTCACTGCTAAGATTGCTCTCTTCCGTGTGGTCATGATAGTCACTATCTCATCGTGCCATGGACAGAGTTCTTAGGAGAGTCTCGTCATGTCTTGCAGTGATCTTATTAACTCCTGATTGAATTAAACCTCAAGGGCAGACTCGGATGCAATTAATAACTATTAATCGTATTGTATTCGGAACAATTGATTTATGTTCTCAAATATGGCTAATTGACAGTGCTGCATGTATTCTTGAAGCTAGGGAATGTCAAGAGCTGTGTAGCATTAACTACAAAGCAGGGAAATTAAAGGTATGATTATGAGGCAATGAAATTGGAGTTATGCCTGGTGAATGTCTTTATTGATCTCTTTCATTTGAAGTGCTCCTTAATGATTTTTTTTTTATTTTGTATTTCTTGTTGTTGCAGGATTACAAAGAGGCTGCATGTGAATGGTAAGTCATTTTTAGCTAATTAACAATAATATCAAGGTTGATCACTAATGTTAACTGGGTCTACTTAACTATCTCATGTTTGCTGTCCCCAATCTCCCCAACTCTTCCTCTCTCTCTCTCTCTCTCTCTCTGTCTCACCCTCTGTTTTTTTCTCTTTCGTTTTGATGCATCCTTTTCTGTCGATATTTATCCCATCTTTGCCTCTTGATTATTTCACACCAAGGTAAACTTAAGGCCAATGGCATTTCTTTTTAATGAAGACATGGGTCTAGACCCCAGAGTGTAGTCTGTTCAGAAATTGTCAATTTCATCTGATGTTAGCAGCACATCCTGATACTGCTCTTATATTTCAATACCTGCTATCTTACATACATTTTCATTTCAGCATGCTAGCCATGCTATTTTTTCTCTAGGGTATTATATTTTTTAGGGTAGGGTATTCTAACTTGTGCTGGATGACAGTAAATGTTTCTTTTGCTGCAGCACTCACCGATGACGTATCTTGTTCTGTTAGCATTCTTCCTGCAATCATAAATCTTGCGATGTAAAGAAATCCATGACTTTATTTGGAGTGACATGGAGAAACCATGAAGGAGTCGTCTTGTGGACCACTTTGTGAAACAGTCAACCTTTGTGGCAAGGTGTAACAAGATTTGTGGAAAGGTGTAACAAGATTTGTGGAAAAGGATGTGCCATTTTAGAAGTGTGTGCATTTAAATGTGCTACAAGAGGTCTTTATTCCCTGGTGCCTATTCCAGACACAGTGATGATTAAACAAAATGGAGAGAATACATCAAGACGTGAAATAGTAGTCACAGAAACACAATGTCACATTCATGGATTAATCTTTGATTGTGGATGTAATCAGAGAGAATCGAACTCATTTCCAGAGATTATAACATGAACTTGATTCTATCTAGAACAGGGTTGTTTTACTTTTGAAGTGACTGGATGTTATGTCTAGCTCTTTTGATCGTGTCATTACTTACAAAAGGAAACATTTGCAGTTGAAACTTGAACCAGGTGCCAGCAGGATTCTCAAGCATGATAGATGCTTGTAGTTTTAAGTGTAATCTTGAGTCATTTATTTAGATTGAATTATTGTTTGACTCTTTCTACATCTCATGTTTACTGTTAAAGGCAGAATGCATGTTTTGACAGCCAATTATGTTGTGTTACTAATGAGCCTACCATGTATTGGGAATTAAATTCCTCAACGTGTTCTATCTCTATCGCTTCCCCCTCTCTCTACCCACATCTCGCTCGCTTCGTACCCTTGCTCTGTCTGTCTGTCTCCCCCTCTCCCTCCCTTTCTCTCTCTCTCCCTTGCTCTTCCTCTCCGTCCATCTCTCCTTCCTCCCTCCCTCCCTTTTTCTTCTCCATCCCTATTTCTTCTCTATATCTTTTTCCCTACCTCCCCTTCCCTCTTTCTTGCTTGCTTTCTTTCTCTCTCTACAACCCTCTCTCCCTTTCTCCACCCCCCCCCCCAACAATCTCTCTCTCCCAGTCTGGTAGAAGAAGTAAAGCAAAAACCATTTGTGATCATTCATCATCCGTGGGCCTATGTAGTCAGCCGGCACATGTGTGTGGACTCATGTCAGGAAGTAAGGATAGATGCTGTAATATTGAGACATGCCATCAAATCATCTATAATGCTGTGGACCTCATCTAAGTGACATTCAAAAGGTCATAAGTTCTCTTCTGATGAGAGAAACTTGGTGTATTTTATTCACAGAGTGGATCGTGATAGTTGTCCAAAAATCAAAGAAACTTATTTTCAACTCCGAAAACATTTTTTTTTGGGGGGGGGGGGGGGGGAGGGGGAGGGCAAAATGGACTGTTAAGAGAAAATATATGGCAAGTGCCCATCATTACAACATTTATCGGTTTAAATGCGTACCAGTATTGAAAGTGTTGAATTCAATTATGAATTGTATTTTGTAAAGCTATTCACAACCTTTGAGATCATTTCATTTGTGAGTAATGTGGAAAAGGGAAGGGTTTTGTAGAAATCAATTTAATGTGCTTTAGGACAAAGGTAGGAAATCCTGAGAGAAAACCGATAAAAATAGCTCTACTTTGTTTTCCTGTAATCTGAACACATTTCTATGGATGTTGTACAAATGTGCAAACTGCAAAAAAAGGTATCTTGAGTGCTTGGTCCTTGGAATGTTTAAATGTGCTGGAATTTCATTGTGTTGTATCTTTTTTCAAAGAGCAGTTTAGTCCTTCTTGCACTCACACCCCAGAGATCAGCACAAAATGACAACAAGCCCTAATGGGCATAAATTGGTAGCAATTCAGACATGTGATGGCCAACAGAGAACAGTTGTTCCTTTGTTACACTCAGAGCTTGTATAGGGTTTTGGATTGGGGCAGCTCATATTTAGCGTGAGTCATATTGCTTGGTATGTAAAGCTAGCATGGAAGAAGAACACACACAGATATGATACGCTGAATGGAAGATGTTTTCCTCTCCGGGAAGATCATAATTTGATGTGTGTTGTGGCATTTTGTAATGAATGGCCAGATATTGTTCCCTGGGTCATATTTCAGCTAGTCTCCATCCTAGCTCTTTCTCATTTTTTTATAAAGAGTCTCTTGGTCTTATTTCTTCTTTCTGTCCTCTTTCTCTTGTTGGGTTTATTGTACGTTGTTTCCTCATATGGTTCTTCATGGATAAATAATAGGGTTGTGAAATACCACACACAAAATACATTTGACATGAAGTTACAATGATTTCTTTTCTGCCTACACCTTTTTAATAGTTTTTCCTTCAAGTAATATGTAGTTTGAGGTTATGAGGAGTTGAGATTTTGTCTCTGACAGTCTGAGGCTGACTTTAGTGACTTGCATACAATATAACATAACTTCAAAATATTCCAGTACAAGATGTTTTCACACTGTTTTCATTGTTTCATTTAATTTTGTTGTCAAATTGCTCACTCGCATGATGAAGTCAAAGAGAGGTGCTTCCAAATTTCCTGCAAAGTGCAATAGAAAATTTGGTTTTTAGCGATTTGATTAAATGCAACCTTATTAAATATGCTTTTCTAAAGATATCAAGTATGGTGGATATCAAGAGTAGTAGCGACCTCTGTTTTTTTGCAGGATCTTGAGGATTTTCCAGGAGTTAGTGGAGTTGTAAGTGTAGGAGTAAGAAGAGAAAGGGGAAAGGGCTTTAGTACAGTTCAGAACTGATCTGATCTTTCAAGTTCCACTATGGTTGTGAGGGTGTATGATTGGTAGCGATGAGGGGAGGAATGGGGGAGGTTACTTATGGGATTGGGTAGGTTTGTGCTCCTTATGTTCCTCCTTGTCTGGAGATTTAAGTTCAGAGTCATGCAAAAATAAGGACATATTATTGTGCCGTCTTGCTTGGAAGCCATACTGGCTGCATGTAACATGTAGGCTTCCATCTTGAAAGTGAGAAGCAACCTATAATTCAGGAATACATTTGTTGTAAATACTAGTAAGGGCACCTGAATCTTACCAATAGTGTGTTTTCAGCACTTCTAAAGTTGTGTTTTTATGAACTTAAAATGATTCTTTCTCTTCGGCATAGCATATAAAGATTCTAATTCTTAGAATATGGAGATGAAGGATAGATCCTAATGAATAACTACATTTGTCACTGATAGAATTCAGCATTTAGGATGGTAGTTGCAACTATTTGTCCCTTAGCTTCCCTTGCTCTTTTCTCATGTTATCATTTATATGCATGTTTCCTTCTTTCAGTTCCATCGTATTCCCAATCAATAAGTCTACATGTATAAAAACATTTTCTGTTTTGATGAAGAGCTTATACAGTGTATACTTTTCATTGTGATGTCTCTTGAAGTTTGATTGGCCTTGTGATGATTGTTGTCATTGCTAGCTACATCGTAGTATAAGCTCTATGTGTTAAATGGTTCCTTATTCACTTCAAGGAGAAAGACTGAAATTACTTCTTTTACAGAAGATCATCATCCTGAAAAAAGTGAAGGACTGAGAGTAACCTTGTTCACATTTTGAACAGGTCATTAGTCTCTTCATTATTCAATTCCAGATAAAGTTGTCAATATATCTGATTGATAGTGATACACATCTGTAAAAACCCAATTTGACAAAGTAACATAATACATAGTATTTTACGCTTATGTTTCTGATTTGTACCAGATTTTTCTACCTGCTCTTTTAAAACGAAAGCCTGCATATGAAAGAAGAGTTCAAATTGTTATAATACTTTTGATAGCATTAGGAGTAAGTCCAAAGAAATAGGCCCTACAGTCATGCAGTAATGATTCAACTTTTCTTCTGTGCTTTAATTGTCAAAGAAAGACATATTTTGGTTTACGTTTGGATTGTAGTTTAGGTTTAGGGTTAGGCATACCGTTTGGTCCAAGTGTTCAAGTAAGAGACATTGTTGGTGTTAGAAATTGATTTCAGAGCTATTGTTGCTGGAGCATGCGTCAAAGGATGCCCTTCAATATTTTCAATAGTGTGCAGGATGTGAGCCAGAAAGGCGTTAACTCTATGCGTTTACTCCAAGTTAATGCCCTTCTGGCTCTCAACAGACAAAATACAGAAACTGAATGATCATGTTTACATTCATTGTAACATTTTGATAGCAACATGGGCAGCCTGGAGATAAGCCGCGTTCCTATGACCTACAGATGATACTGTTTAACATAAAATAAACATGACTGTCCTCATTGATCATGCAGAGATATAGAGTTCATATATATCCTCCAGTCATTAGTTAATGACAAAATAAGCAATTTAGCAGGGGCACCCAGGACTATTTAGATACATTAACATTTTGATAACCTATGATGGCATCGCAATGACATCTCTGTTTTTGCATCCCGAGTTGAATGCTTCCCCTCCCTAGCCGACAAGTTACTCCCTGATCCAGTAATGGATCTGGCTAGCCGTCGCGGCAGTGGCGGAGAAAGGAGAAGAAAAAACGTAACCATTAGCAGTGCTGTTGATTTAGGTGACGCAGGTCCCTGTAAAATATACATGGGTGTTTGCCAGTGGATGGATATGGCTGTAATGTTAGGCCCAGGGTACCATTGCAACTTGGGTTTGAGCTATTAAATATGGGGTCAGTCATGGCTGAAATAACTGGCATACCCAAAAGTCGATTGGTGATGGATAGATGCCGTATATCCCAGCAACCCATTTCATGACTGTTTTATCTGGTTCTTCATTTTCCTTTTCACCCTTATCCAAATGTTATCTTCGGCCTGTATTCCTGACTCAGGCTAGATTCCTCCTCCTAATTCTGGATTCCGAAAGATATTCCAAATGGGGGAACGTTATGGTAATGGAAATGGAAAGCTAGATAAATTCTTATGATTATTATGATTGATCATGGTTTACCTGTGCCTATGAAATGGAGAAGTAATGTAGGCATAAATAATTCTTCCTTGACCTTCCCTTCTTCCTTTTATTTTAAACCTTTGCTTCATATTATCATTTGCTTCATCTATCCCCTCAAATATCTTTCTCTTAATGTCTCTATCTATGCTTTCCTTGTTGTCTCTCTCTCTCTCTCTCTTTCTGTGCTTCGTAAATAATCCTCCAAAATGATCCTCATTGAATTAAACTTGAGTCTCAATGAGACTCTTTATTGAAAAATTGATACATAAATTGTACCAGTTTTAGACCAAAAGTAAGCATTGTGAAAATTTCAATTATGATATTTTAGAGGAAATTAAATGAACAAACATGTTCCTCTCTGCTTCCTGCTCTCTTCATTTGGGAACAGCATAGAATGTATCCTACATTTTCAATAGGATTCTGACTTCGTCATCGCTGTTTCTAATTAGTTGTATACTGAGACTCAAGGCCATTGTAGTTCAGTACATCATGCAGAAAATGGGGAAACTGCGATGAATAGAAGTCTAATAAACCACAACCTACATCTACAGATGTGGAGCTCTCTACCAGCATGGTTAAAATTGAGCTCTATGTTTCTTGTGTCGGTAAGAGGCAGAGCAAAAGAGCTGAAAATCGGTGTAAGCCACATATAATAGAACTCCAGATGAACTTGTGGTAGCTTGAGCATGACAAAACACAGATTAATTTTATATTTCAAGAGGTCTGCCTTTTGACGGTGCCTTAGAAGGTAGAATAATTTGGCGGTGAAAAGTCGGTCATTATTTTTTTGCCTTAGAAGTCATTGATGGCACAGCTTTAAATATGAATGAATCGGAATACAGACTCCATGCTGTGTGTCCCTCAATCCTGAAATAACAAGATGATACCAAGACAGAGAGATACACTCCCATGAATGGGAATATCCTCCTCATGTTCCCACGCATATCTTACCTTGGAATTGAATGTATGAAATTCGATAAGAGTATGACATTCGATATTACAATATAATTTGTCTTTACTTTGTTCTTTTGCCAAGTAAGGAAACAGTCTGTTATTCCTGATAGCATTGCTTCAACTTCAAGGTTCCATTATGATCGGGATGATATCATTGAGTCCTTTTAGAATGGTTTCATTTGTGTGTGTGATGCTAGGTGTTGGGGGGGGGGGGTTGTACTAGGAAGATTGTTGTCATGTGATGGGGATAGGATAAGTACCATTAACTCTTGATTTCTGCTCGTTATTTTCTCAAGTCCCAGCAGGCTATTATCACTGATTACTCCAATACAGACAGGCAGTGTCTTCTTACCATGATATCAAGATAGGAGAGCACAAAATGGTGAGATCATTCCAAGGACCTCAAGTTGTTTTCAAATATAATACTGCTCGTGATCAGTCTTTACAAGCAAGAGGAAAATTGATATGAAGAAATGTTTCAACAAAAACATATGATGAGCATATAGCGAGAAGGGCGCTCATACTGAATACAGTTTGAATAAATAAACATGGTATAAAGTAACTCGCTGAGGAAAGAATCGCATCATTCTGTTCCATCTTCATTCTTAACTAATCAGGTTGAATTGATGCTGATTGAGTTCTTGTGCAAAATGATGCTTAAACCTCTGTTTGTATCTGCGATGCTTTTTTATACAGCATACTACTATACAACTTCAAGCAAGGAAATGTAGGTCTCTTGTACAGCTATGGAGTTATGGTAAGGATTATTACGTTATTTCCCATATTCTGGGGGGGGGGGGGGGGGGGGGGGGGGAGAGGGTAAATAAATGGGTATATGGTTAAACTGTATTGTCTGTCCAACATGTGGTAAACTTACCACAATTCAAAGTCTACTGATATTTGTCAGCCTTTGAGGCCTCTTCTAAAGTAATCCAAATTTGCAAAAATAGCAATTTGAATTATAAATCGATGAAAGACAAGTCAATAATTCATCCATGAATATTCAAACCCTTCAGGCTATTTTGCCTGACCATTTGTCGATACCAAATGAATCTGCCTCAATACATGAGAGACTTTTTGTGTGTATAATGCATGAGATAATCACAAGAAACATCCTTGACCAGTGACCAGTGCATATACATGTATATGATTGTACAGAGTGACTGGAATAAGTAGTTTTTACTGTTGGCACTATAGGGTCAAGTAGGGAGACATAAAATGACCAAGATCAATATATACCATGGCCATGAGTGAAATTCGATGTGAGCGGGATTGTTTATAGCTTAGATCAATGTAGGAAGATGAAATAGAGAATATACCAAACATCTGTTCCAGGATGCCTTCTCTAGTTATTATGAATACACTTTTGTAAATCACTGTCATAAATGATATAGACAGTTGGCAACATCTGTGGGGTCGTAAAGGTGACATAACTTGAGGCAACCGATCTCCTTCTGTACCTTGGCAATCAGTACAAACAGAAACTAGACATGGTAAGACCATGTATCATCGTGGTATGATGACAGAGTTGGAGAAAGGAAGTCAGAAAAAGCACAAGAAGCCCTAGTTTCTTTCATTATTTAGGCCGTTGGTGTTCTAAATAGAACAGAGCTTTGATAAGAAGAAGCTTTCTAAATTGAGAGTAGAATAATACCGGTAAGAGTTATCATGGAGTCTTTCAATATTGAATTGGGTTCCTTGTGCATTGGGTGAATCAACTGGTTCCCTTGCAGATAGTCTACATCTTAAAACCTTTTAAAGTTGTGTGAGTTACTTTGAAAGCCAAAACTTATTATGAAAGTATTATATAATTTCAGTTGGCTTAAACAGCAATCATGTGTCCATCTTAGACAATATATGTCATCAGACCCAAATATCTAGAAGATAGCAGCAACAATTTATGTATCTTGAGAAAAAAAAAGTTTTTCTTTCATAGTTGGGTGAACTTGAAAATAGGGTTATCCCTTCAATTTGATTTGGTCTTTTAATGATGGTTGCAACTTGCCAAAGGATAACCAAGACAAGCACACACTATCTTTATAAAAAGGGAACTGAAAATTATGAAATAGATTGGATATAGTAAGGCTGATGGTGTAGACTGTGTTTATTTTGGGGTAGACAAATTTATTCCTTTTATGTTTGACCAAAGAAGTATCTCTATGGTTTGACAGCGCATTCAAGAAGTCAAATCTTGAGTGCTTCTCTCTTTCTTTGTAACTGAAAGGCATTTGTGCTAAATGTAGTCTCTATGGAGCTCCCATCACCAGCACTTAAAATGTTTTATTTTGTACCAAAGAACAGCCACGGAATGCCAGAAGAAAGGGACATTACCTATTTGCATGTTTGCTAGTGTCGTGGAACACAAAAAGAAGTTGTAAAATCTTTGTGGTTTACTTTCAAACACCACTTGATTCAATAAAATGTATAGATGGTCAATAGAGGAAGAATTTAAAGGTACAAGTCACCATTAGTTGTAAATAGTAAATGAATGAATAGAAAGAGTAATATATGTATAAATCTTGATCGACTTGAAGAATTTTTGCCCTGCATTCTTTGGGCTAAGTCAAGGAATATGAACACAAAGATATAATACTAACCTGTGCATGGAACCCTTTACATATAGAGCATAATTAATTTGTTTTTTTGGGGTGTTTCGTTCCCTTTAAGAATTTCAAAAATATCTTTCTTCTCTCCTCGATGACTGTGTAAACAGGACTATCCAACCAAATAAAGTTACAGGTCTATGGCCCCATAAATGCATTGATTTTTACAAATTTTCCCACCCAATCTGTCAACCTGTATTCCTATCTGTTCAAAACTTATTGTCTTCTTTCAAGTTGCTACAATCAAACGCCTTATCATCCTGTCATCCATTGTTCCAACTCCCGCCTGTTCACAGGTGCGTTGAGGATTAAATACATAATGATCAATAGCTTGGAATAGTTGGTTATTAAAACGTGGGCTTGTAAGTTTGTTCTCATTAAGCGGCGGAAAAGCGTTGATCCAGAGCGTGCACATGAAAGCATTCCAACGTGGGATGTCATGAGATCAAATAGGAATCGAGATAGCAAGTGACATGGATCTGATTTATCACAATGGAGTCATTTATCCGCATTATGGACATGCAAATATGTAATGATCATGAGGCTGGGAAATTTAGGTAATTATTTCCTACTTTTCTTTAGAAGTAAAATTGTTGATAAAACGTTCAATATGCTTTCTAGGGGGTGAGAGAAATTTAAACAAAACAATAGCATTGCAACAAAATTGTTCTTTCTGAATGTAAAGATGATATCTATTCTGCTTTATAGGAATGTTATGATTGTGTAAACATTGTGGTATTTGTTAAGCCTTGGGTCCATGTGAATAACTGCACTATGGTCATGGTTACATGTAATAGGGAAGGAACTCATGTTAATCACAGTATATGCAAAACAGTCTGAATTTAATTTTGCATTACATTGTACAGGATTTTAAGTTCATCCTATATCCACTTTAATGTACCCAAAGTCCTGTTTCTTCTAGATTCATCCAACAATAGTCAGGTATTTTAGAGGCGAAGATTGTACTTTGAAAGAGCTTAAATAGGGTATTGACTAATCTGTCCCTTATTAATCCCCTTGACCTATTTTGAGTTGCTCATTTATGGAGAATGCATTTCCTGTCTATTCTGTCTTTTGTTTGAGATGTTCTATAATCTGTTTGGACTGGTCTTTTGGTCTTGAGTGGAATAGGTCCTGTTCCTCACATGATGAGGAGTGAGGTTCGAGTGAGGTTCAAGTGAGATCTTGAGACAACACTGCATCCTGTTCAAAGGAGATTACTTTTCCCCAGCCTTTTGTGTAGTCCCATACCATGTATCCCCATGTCCTTACATTAGACCACACATGTATCCACAGTCACATTATTATCAGCCTAACCTTTCTAACCAGCATGCATTGAAAGTGCGGAAGGAGGCACTTTCCATTAACATTTCAGCTTGATTTAAAGTGGATATTGATTAACTGGTGATGTTTTTCATAGAATGTTGTCTGTCTAAATGCCACCCTCTCTGAAACTTTTACATGACATCGATTTAACAACATGTAGGCCTATAGTGTGGGCAACTTCAATATTTATGGCTTGACTGTTTGGGTATCTGTTGGTTTTGATGACAATAAGGTATCGAGTTATCACGTTAGTCTCCACAAGATGTTTTATAAACCCTGGTAACACCTTGATATACCAGGAGATGTTGGCTACAAGCTCTTGTTGCACTCAAATGTGAAAACTTATATTACTCATCCGTGTTACACTTGATTATTACTTGAAGAGCTAATGTTGTAAACACTTCATTTGTATGCCACCAAAATCAAGGACATTTGCCCTAAATGTAAATGCAGGTACTGGTAGTCTGAAAAAAGAAAAAGTAAAGATCGAAAGATAAAGGCCTAATAATGCATTGATTTCTATTTTCTTTGTAGGTTACTACTGCTCTACTTCTGCCATACAGGTGCTTTTATCCCACATATATACCAAGCCCCACCCCTCCTACTCTCCCCTGCCCCCATAATACCACTCATGCAATCCATCAGCCAATACCCCTCCAGATAAGAGAGAGAGATAGAGCGAGAGAGAGCAGGGTCACACATACCTGCCATGCAGTAAAGCATAGAGGGGTTTGTGTGTGTCGAGTCGATCAAGCCAGCCGTGTGCATGCATTCCCATTCATTTGTGGTTTAGAGACGGGGGACGAGTGTGTAGGTACCAAGCTAGGCTCTCTCTCATAACCCAATGTAAACTCACATCTTTCTCCTCACTCATTCTCATTCGGAGTGGAGTGGAGTCGAGTTGATTTGCGCTTGTTATTTGCGGGATTTGCAATTGTACATTCCCATTCACGCTCATTTTCGGAGGATACTTGTATGTCAGGAATATCATCAGGAACCTGAAGGTTGTCCGAGGCTATCTCTGCAGTGGCAGATTTGGTTGAGGGAAGGTTCATCCATCTAGAAAATGAGAATAGCATTATCACCACTGTACTGCAGCATCTGATGTGACAGCAACAAGCATAGACTGATTCCTGAGCGGAGGTTGACTTGCAATCAAAGGATAGTTACATGTGGATTACGTTTTACCTGATTTCAGGTTGGTGCTGAATGAAGCAGAGTGCAACGTGAGTATTGCTGGTATTCCTCAGTTTCAGATGGAGAATGTTATCAATCATTATGATTTATGAATAGATGATCAATTAATCAGTGGAATGAATCTGCCATTGCCATGGAAGCATGGCATGTACCATCATCTCTGATATCTTCCATTATTCATGGTCTTCCTGGAGGTCTCACAGCCCGGTACTGTAACTTGAATCCTGGCTTTCGTTTCCTCTTTTCAACCCTCATTCCCAACATGGTACCGGTCTTCATAATTTATTAATGGAAGCCACTGGTATCATCCGGTCTATTGAGACTCAGAAGGGCTTTAACTGCATGTAAGACGATATGAGTTCATGCCCTTTTGGCCCTCACTGTCCCAGCAGATGATAAGATATGATTGATGTGTGTCTATTGCATGTGGCCATCTGGTATTACATGAGTTAACACGGTCCTTCAGAGTTCAGTGGTTTTTATATAGAAAGCTGGTAATATATAGATCTGTATTTTTTATAATGCAGGTATGCACAGCCACAAATGCTAGTCAATGGGGATGGGCAGAAAGCCAGAAAGAAAAAAATATAAATAGCGTGGGTTGGGTTGGAAGGGGTTGGAAAAAGAGAGGTATTGTATTCTCAGTGTCCATTTCAGCATATCAAGTGTGTAGAATATGATTATGAATTGCCAGAGGTGTTGGTGAGAACAGAAGAGAGAAGATCAATCAGAGAGTGATGTGTTGTTCCTTGAAGTTGGCTTTGCATGAAAATTGAAGGAATATTTCAAATGTTTAATCATTGCATGCACCTAAAACTAATTGATGTGTCACTGATTTGTATATAATATTTTTTTTAAATAGCAAGATTTATAGGCATGATAAAACTAGAAAAATTAATGTATATTGGAAATTGCTTATTATGTACATTTACATGTTAGCTTTTGAACATGAATTAGAATTTCATATGTTCAAATCATCAAACTTCTGTTTGATCTGGGAGTTTTAAAGAGATGTAAATCCTGGACAAATCAATACTGCTCCTTCCTGTCTGGACTGCAGGTAGTAGTATAATTACTTTTTTCAAACCTTAATCTCTTAAATGATTGTCATGTTCTTGTTAACTTCATCCAAGGCAACCCTTAACTCAAGTGTCATTGTTAAGAGAATACTCTTAAAATGGGAAGCTTCTGCTTCTACCATGGTTGTGTGGGTCACTAAAGAATGCCAGTAGTCAATGTGGATTAGGATGACAATAAACTTAGTCCCATTTAATCATGCTTAATCAAGCATACAATCGGAACAATATATCAAAAAGGGGGAGGGGGCTGTCATGGTTTATAGACCATGAACCTACATGGTTAGACAGTTTTTTTTTAATTCAATGATCCTTCCTTGGCTTGGGAGCCGACACTTTGTGATGTGGAAGAGTCTAGAGGCTGGTACAGCTGGGTTTTCTCACCAATTCCTGGGGCAGCATCTTGACCAATTAATTCCAAGCTGTGAAACTAATGCATGATAATGACTTTAAACAAAATAATTCATTTTGATAAGAGACCTACTTTTTTGCATCATGTTATTAAAGAGGCTGATGGGTAATTAATGGCATTTTAAGTTCATTGTGTTCTAGCAATCTAAGGATTACAGATAGGAGGCCTGTAGCAAAGGAAAAAAAGAGATTAAAATGATACAGAAGAGGATCTGAACTGTTTAGGTAAATTTGTGTTTTTTAATCAGAATTAATTGGATTATTGAAGCTTTTCTGATTATAAGTAACCCAGTTCAAGTACAGTCAGTGTTCTATAAGCACTGAATAATCAATTCAAGCCAAAATTATTTCTGTTCACTTTTTCAATGTAGGGTAAATTTTTACTCTTGATTTTGTGATAACAATGACCATCAGTATTGTGAAGACTCAAAAGTGAAACTCCATGCTCTTGTGGGCATTTTTTTTATAGGTGAATCTGTCATTGATTTCATCAATAATTTGGGTTACCCAATTTCCTTAACCCTCTTTGGATTCTCGTTGAAATTCAACATTTAATGTGATTTCAGTTTGGCTTTGTTTCATCTGCATTGTCCCGTTTCAATCAACAATCATCGTTATTCATCTGCATTCTCATCCCAACAGTATAAGAATTCAATGACTAACGGTTGATAAAGTGAAACCTAACACTCTCTCCACTGCTGTTATTCACCCATTTCTATACGCAATAATGAGTCATGGCACATAACACTTGATACTACACCGTCCGCTCGTCAGAACCCATGCTGGGACATGGCTACCACAACCTTTAACACCGAACGAAATGAGATAATTCCTCAGAAATAACTTCAACTTGCCGTGGGCTTTTCCACCAAATATCACTCGTTAGTCATTACCCTCCCCCTGCCTTCATGATACAACATCCTCATACATCTTCTTGGTGACAGTGTCGGGTGCTATCAGGAAAGAAAGAATTGAGAACTAGGAATTATTTGAGAAAACAGTAGATAAGGTGCAGTGTACTATGTTGAAATCTACCAGAATTTTGAAATTGACTTTGGTTTGACCTCTGAAGAAACCATAAAATGACCTCAGAAGGCAAGCAGCATTCCACAGCTTTGGTGCAGACATGTCTTGTGGTTTTTTTCAAGCATTTACATTATGGATTTAGGGTCATGGAGGTTTCATGCACCTCCCCCACACACACACACCTCTTTCTCCTCTTGAGTCCATTCTCGCTCACAGTGCTCCTTTGAAGCTGCGTTAAATCTCATGCTAGGGCATAATCAAGAAAGGATGACATTCACATGTCAATGTTGCTTCATCCTCTCATCCTTCTCCTCATCTTCCAGTGATGCAGTCCCTCCCAGTTGACCTCCCATCATTTCCCTCCATAATGGAGGGATGGATGATTCATACTGGAGTCCATGGAGAGTAAATTGTTTTCTTCTAAACCTCAGCTGGGTTTATACAGTATGCCTGTATATAACTCGGGTCACTAGCCCAGTAGCTGCAATTATTTACGACGTCTTTCATTCTGGTTGACTTTCATTTTCATATTTTCCAACCTCAAGGTTAGGTTAAAGCTAAAGACCAGTTGTGGTCATGTGATTGCATTGTGAAAGAAACGTTGTGAAATCGATCAGAAAAGGTTGATCATCTAGCATAGATGTACTGCAAGGTTCTGGAATCATCAAAATGATCGGAAATTTGGCCAAGTCTTCATAAAGTTAGAAGCACTGTACACAGAAAGATGTATATGGGACTACACACACGTGCGCGACACGTGCATTTGATATCTCTCAACAGGCAAGAGATACACTAATTTACCAAATATATCAATTAGTAGGCGGTTTCCCGTCAAAATTTGTATCATCATGTAATATTCAAAACATATTCTTTCACATGATTGGTAGTAAGAGCTTCCATTTCATTTTTTGAAATTATGGCGTTTCCAATACTGGTCTTTACCTTTAATACACAGTAAATGGATTTTGATTATGATATTTTATAAGGGCTGGTTTTGTTGACTATGGCAATACAGAATTTACAACAATGCAGTAACCTTGCTGTGGAGCTGGCCAGTTTCGCAGTTATGGACTATATATAAAATTGTCAAGGTTATAAGTTTTCTTTCTTGGGACGTTATCACACTCATGTACATGTACTTCATTCCTTACTGTAGAATCATGACATCATAGTAATTTTAAGTGGTATAGAATAATTTCTGTAGATACACATACCAATAATAGTGCATAAAATATACATGTACTCTATACTCTTATCACATCAGAGAGAATGATACATAGGGCATGGTCTCAACGCTAGCATTTCATGTACACTAAACAAAGTGGTGTTTCACATTTTAGTTAATAAGCTCCGCCATTGTAATTGTCCTCCAGCTAATCACTGAAGCTTAAGTGATAGGCAAGGAAAGCTCTCACCAATATTTCCCTGTGTCACAATATGAGCTCATTGAGGCTAATTGGAAAACTACTTGCTAACAAGGTTACCATAAACCCTCAAGAACAACGAGTGACTCATCAAAGATTGTTTGTGTTGTTGTATGGCTTTGGGAGAAATTTGCATCTCATTTGCATACATGTGTACTGTTATGTCATATGACGTGAGATGACAAGTCTCCTTTCTGTCTGTATCTCAAGATGTTAGGTTTATGATAATGGGAAGAGTTTGCTACTGTATGGCAGTCATTACCAGAAGAGTTATTCAAGTCAACATTAGTATCTGAATGTTTCATCTTGGTAGAGTCTTCAAAACCCAAGGTTTGACTGGGATAGATCCAGTACAGCCGTTGCTGAGAATGAATGATATATTTAGGCGAAGATGAAAATGATGATATTTTAAATACTATGATGAATGAAATAATGACACAAGCTGATTTCTTTTCGACCGAGGCAAAATCCACAGAAAATATTTAGTTTTAAAAGGTTATTTACAGATCTCTGGAAGAGAATATATCATGGCAGGTCATAGTCAAGTATGGTCTTAGAGGGTCATATATTTCAAATTAGGCCTGAGTCATGTCGGGATTTTCATAAACCGGGTCCCGACGGCCTTGCACCGGTCGGGACCCGGTGTCCCGAAATCAGTTCGCAGGATTTGTCTCTTGCCTCTATAAAAAGCGCATATCATCAGTATGTCCCTTAAAAGTGACATTTTTATCAGTCAAATAAATCAACACATGCATACCTCGGCACAGATTGGTATATTCTTCCATTTGACATTATATTCATCCATGATTGGCGATGTTTAGTGCCATTATCGTGCCTCTAAAAGTAAAAAAACTCGAGCAAAAATATAAAGACTACAATCGAGCCGCCATTTTGATTTATGCAGGTTGAATAAATCTGGTCAAAAAATATGAATGTTAGAATAATAAAACGGCTTTCTAAAAAATTCTTCTGTACAATATACCGATCATATAATATTTTAAAGACAAAAATAAATATTTATCTCTTATTTTAAACATCGCATGCTTTTTTTAAAAAGCTGAAAATTACTTGGTAATCACAAGAAGTTTCGAT